GTTCCCAGGAGGAAGGATTTGGGGTTTGGGGTTTAGGGTTTAGGGCTTTAGGGTTCTCTATGCATAAGGGAGTTTGGAAGGGGGGGGGGAACGCGAAGCAACAAGGGCCTCCTAGCTTAGTAGCTCGGAGTTTCGGTTGGTTTTTTAGATTTATGCGGTTTATAGGGTCGATAAGGTTTAGGTCTAAGAGGGTTTATTGGCTTTGTAGGGTTTGCTGGGTTATTCATATTTGACTTTTTTAGGGTTCAGGGTTAAGGGCTTAGGGCGACCCTGAACGCACGTAAACACAAACTCCGGAAGAGCGCGGCGTCGGGAATCCAACCCTGAACCCAAACCCTACCTTGGCTGCACATAGGAGGGTGGTTATAAATTAAAATCTTTACTTGCCTTGTTAAGATACCCAATAAGCCCAAAAAGGCTCAGGATCTAAAGTTACAGTAAAGCACCACAACCCTAAACCCTAAACCCTAAACCCTAAACCCTAAACCCTAAACCCTAATTGCACCGAGACATGGGCCAACAGTTGAAAGCTCCTACGAAGGGAACAGCCTTGCAAAAGCAACAGAGACCGCGCCAAAGCCTTGAACCACCCCTCACACAAAGCAGGGTTTAGGGTTTAGGGTTTAGGGTTTAGGGTTTAGGTTTTAGGGTTTAGGGTTTAGGGTTTAGGGGATGCTCCCTACGTGGCGAGCGGGTTCGGGTTGCACGGTCTGTGGACAGAGCCGAAGCCGAACCATTTGGAACTCTCCTAAACCCCGAAGAACCCTGAACCCTAAACCCGAAAACCTGAATTTCAAGCGCGGAGCCAACCCCAAAAACACTGAAGGAAGCGGCAAAGGATTCGAATTTCAGCATGTGGGGATGAGGGTTTAGGGCCAAATTTGGGGCGTACTAGGCCCTCAACAGAACACCCAAGCTCAATGTCGAAAGCCTAGGTCTTACATGAGGAGCTGTTTCTAAGGCAGGTTACACGGTCCCTTAAGATGGTTCCTTACCTTCTTTGAAAGGGTTGGGCACTTGGGTTTATGGGGGATATAAAAGATATACGGATTCACCAATTGAAGGGCCCGTGCTGCATGAGATGCAACCTTGGACCCCTAAGGTTGTACCCTTGGGTTTCGGGGGGGGGTCCTGGCCCTAAACTCTAAAACCCTAAAACCCAAAACCCTAAACCCTAAACCCTAATCAAGAGTATATGTCCGAGTTTGACTTCCTTTCAATGTTAAGGATCATGTAACTACCCTAGGGATCCCTAGGGTTTAGGGTTTAGGAGTTAGGGTTTAGGGTTTAGGGCTTAGGGATCGTGTAAGGGGGCTGTTCAACACCCTAGGTCCGATCTGAAATTTATCTGATCTACCGGCAAATCCCAGAGTAACACTAAACCCTGAACCCTGAAGCCCAAACCCCAAACCCTAAACGCTTTGAGGGCTCCATAGGGGTCCTCTGCATCCTAGGACCCTAAACCCTAAACCCAAAGCCCCACAAAGGAGCACTTCAAGAACCGAGGGTTTAGGGTTTAGGGTTTAGGGTTTAGGGTCGTCCAAAGACACAAAGCTTGGCTATCAAGGGCTTGGAGTTGTAAGGTGTAGGGTTTAGGGCTTAGGGTTTATAACGTTTACAGGGTTCATGTATCGGTTTTATGGTAGTGCATAGGGCTTATAACGCTGATAGGAGTTGTAGGACGAACAGGGCCTATAAAGGGCGGGTATAGGCGGTCAAGCAAATCTCCGACTGTTCCGAGAAACTCCTGAAGCACGCTGCGATGCCGCTCCCTGTCTGGCGATGTTGGGTTAGGAGTTAGCCGGGTTTGGGGTTCGGGGCCCTAAACCCTAAACCCTAAACCCTAAACCCGAAACCCTAAACCCTAAACCCTTAAAGTGTCGATTTGGGGTGTTATAAAGCTCAGGATGAGATTGAGGACTTATGGGTTTGCGGGGGGGGGGGGGGTGGGGCTTGGCAGCTTCGAGGCTCAAGGATTCTAAGCACTAAAATTCAAGGATTTGGAGGTTTAGGGTTTAGGGTTCAGCATCTTTGGTCCAAGCATTCACTAGTTGAGCAGCTTTCAAGGCCACAGGGGAATACCCACCCGCCCATTGGGTCCCACACCATTAGGAAAAATATCCAACCTCCTTCTTCTCTAGGCACGTGGTCAACAGAATGGATTTGTTAACCACATGTTTCTGTTTCAAGCGGACAAGAAAACCAAATGTGGTCAACAGAATGGATTTGTCAACCACATGTTTCTGTTTCAAGCGGACAAGAAAACCAACGTGGTCAACAGAATGGATTTGTTAACCACATGTTTCCATTCGGGAACTTATTCTTTGGAAGCCATCTTGAGTTTTGAGTCGTTTGAGGGGCTTCAGGGGCCTCAAAAACAGGCGCGGTCATTCGGAAACTTATTCTTTGGAAGCCATCTTGAATCGCTTGACTCTTTTGGGGGCTCCAGAGGGGGGGGGGGGGGCGAGGGGGGGGGGGGGGTGAATGGGGTGGGGGGTGGGGGGTGCGGGGGGGGGGGGGGGGGGGGGTGGGGGTGGGGGGGGTGGGGGTGGGGGGGTGGGGGGGGTGGGGTGGGGGTGGGGGTGGGGGTGGGGGGGGGGGGGGGGTGGGGGGCGGTGGGGTGGGGGTGGGGGGTTGGGGGGGTGGGGGGTGGGGTGACCTTGCCCACTAAATATATGACCTTGCCCGCTAAATATATGACCTTGCCCGCTAAATATATGACCTTGCCCGCTAAATATAGGACCTTGCCCGCTAAATATAGGACCTTGCCCGCTAAATATATAACCTTGCCCGCTAAATATATGACCTTGCCCGCTAAATATATGACCTTGCCCGCTAAATATATGACCTATTTACCTGGCCCGGGCCATATATATAGCGGGCAAGGTCATATATTTAGCGGGCAAGGTCATATATTTAGCGGGCAAGGTCCTATATTTAGCGGGCAAGGTCCTATATTTAGTGGGCAAGGTCCTATATTTAGCGGGCAAGGGCATATATTTAGTGGGCAAGGTCATTTTTTAGCCAGTGGACCTTGCCCACTAAATATATGACCTTGCCCGCTAAATATATGACCTTGCCCGCTAAATATAGGACCTTGCCCGCTAAATATAGGACCTTGCCCGCTAAATATATGACCTTGCCCGCAAAGTCATTAACATTTATATTATATATGAAAGAGTGGTTTAGGGTTTAGGGTTTAGGGTTTAGGGTTTAGGGTTCAAGGCTTGGGGACTTAGGGGTTTATAGCAAGGCATCCTAGCACTTTGAAGGTCTGAGGGGCTGAATGTGCTGTACTGTCCCCAAAAATCTTTGGAAGAGGACCTGGCTGCACAGGCCCCTAGAAGTAGCTAGTTAGGTTTTTCGAGAGAGTACAGTTTAAACAGCAATTAAGCTAATGAAACTAGTCCGTTTTGCTTTGAGGACTGTATGTATTTGGTTCATTGGACTCATTTCGTCAAAGGTATACTATTTTAACTCATGTTCATAACCCTTTCGTAAACAGATAAAGCCATTGAGATTTGTTTTAACTAAGTGAGCTTCAACGAATGGAAAACCTTAACTAAGTTAAGTACCTTTCGGTAATTCATTGATTCATTCATTTCATGCATTTGGGAGCCTACTAAGTCAATTCATGTACTTAACCCTTTTCAAGAAACAACTAACCTGCTGGAATTACTTTACTACAGTTTACTGCAACAAACAAAACCCCTTAGTTAAGTTAAGCACTGTATTTGTTAACGAAAACAATCAAAATATACTTGGAAATACGTTCGCTATAACATAATGAACGCTTTAATGAAGCAATTGGATCAGATCGGAATGTAAAATTGATTCTTTTCATGCTTAGATTGAGACAAGATTTTTTCATGTTTTGTGAAGGCCAAACAGTGTCAAACAACTCCACAAATAAAACCCATCTAAGTACTCTATATAGGACCGTGATTTAAATAATTCTATTCTTCATTCAGCGAATGAAATTACTTGAACCAAGTTAGTTTCAAAAAAACCAGCCGTATTCAAACTACGCACATTCTGAATTGAGTTCAATGAACTAATTTAATTCCTTACTGGTCATGTACATAAACCTTCAGAAAACTAGTCAAACTATCGTAAGCGATTATTTGCAAGAAGCAAAAAGACTTTGGGTAAATTAAGTTAACGAAAACAATGAGAGCATTCTAGCGAATGTTGTCATGAGCACATTCTACAGCAATGCAACATAAAGTTGGTTTATCTAACTAATGGTTCACTAAATGTGAATGAACTCATTCGAAGTGGATGAAAACATCATTTCATGTAATTCATATCAACTAAAAAAAGGATGGCACTGTACTAGTTCAATGTAAGCAAATCACCATTGCCGCGCTATCACCATGTGCATGGCATCATCCTCCACTCGATGCCATCTGGCTCTTCTGTCACGTGTCCGTTAACGCGATGCAAAAAAAATTTCAGCAAAACCTAGGCGCCGGGAGGGTGTGGGGTGGGGTGGGGGGGGGGGTGTAAAGACATATCCACATTAGGAAACTAACATTTTACTAACTTGTTTATACTTAGCAACTGTAATCACAACAAAAAGCACATTGCATTTGCATAGATACCGTCTTGTGAGGATTAAGGCTCAGGGTTTTCCAGCGTAATATCAGGCCCGACAAAGCCATCGAGTTTGAGGGTTGCGATTTGGCCTTTCCGAATTGTAAGCCCTGAGCCCGAAACCAAAACCCCTAAACCCCAAACCCCAGACCCTAAACCCCAAACCATTTCCCCTGCCAGGGGCTCCGTGTAGGTTGGCATCAGGGCAACGTCCTGTTGGTGACTGAAGCTTGCTGCGGGCTCTTTTTGTCCAGAAGACGTCGGGTTTCTTGTCATAAAAATGAGCTTCTGTTCAGGGCACTGCTTGTCCCAGCCTCACAAGACAGGAGCTTGTAGTCTTCGACCGAGCGCCTGTCAAAAAAAAAAATCTGTAGGACGTGGTGCATTTTTTAAAAAGCTGCTTTTTAGTCCTCGTAGACTTGCCACATGTTTTGCTGAAGTAGCTGCGCCAGCGCTGCAGCTGTTTTGGGGTCCTGGATGGCTTCAACAAGCCGGGGCAGCGACAGCGAGCAACGCGTTGATTTCTCGCGCAATGTCTGCATGCAGGTATGGACGAACTCCTCCACGCTCTGGCACGAGAACGCCGTTGCCACCATGATCTCGACTCCCCCCATGCGCTGCCTGTCCACGAAGACAGATGCGCGACGAAACATCTTCTCCGACCGCGCGACCACGCACATGCGGACGTCGGAACGGTGCTTGACATGTTTTTTCATGCTGAGCTCTTCGATGATGGGCTTCGCTTCTCGCCAGTCTGCGATGATCAGTTTTGCACCTTTCCTCGCATCGAGCCAGCTAAGAAAACCCATGGATTTCTTGTGACAAACGAACTTGCAACCAACCGTGGCTGCAAGATGCTTCAACCCTTCTCGAACGTCGTGGTGCTCGGGCTTCAAGCAATGCTCGAAGCACCACACAAGCCACACATCCAGTTCATTCGGTCCACCAAAACTGAAAGGGGTCTGTGTTGCCATGTGAGCCTTCGGGGGTGAAGCAGAGGAAAATTGGTCTTGAGCAAAAAAAACCTGCTTGGAATGAACGTCGCAAACAGCTAAGGTGGCAATTCTCGAGCCCTAAACCCTAAACCCTAAACCCTAAAGCCTAAACCCTAAACCCTCCTCCGCCCTGCAAGACGGCCTCGGGCTCCCCTTGGCGCAACTTGCTTGCGCTTAGCAAGGCATGAAGTTCGGTAGCCTTCTTGATCCCTCAAGTACATGGGGGTATATGAGGTTTAGGGTTTAGGGTTTGCCGAATTCGCTACCAAGAGCCTGGTAGCAGGACCAACTCCTGACGGATTAGGGTTTAGGGTTCAGGGCTTAGGGTTTAGGTTTTGGGGTTCAGGTTTTAGGGTTTATCCAACCGGTGGGTCTGTCCAAAATCTTTTTCGTATAGGGTTTAGACTTAGACTTTAATTTAGGGTTGTAGGGTTTAAAGGGTTAGGGTTTTTGGGGATTAGGGATTTAGGGGTTGAGGGGTTGAGGGGTTTAGGGGTTTAGGGTTTATTGTTGTAGGGTTTAAAGGGTTGGGGTTTTAGGGAGCAAGTGCTGGAACACATTTTCTGTCATGTGCCCATGTGCACCTGCCCGTCTCATCCGGGTGGAAGTCCTTCGGCAGTTGGGCTTACTCTCAACCCCCGGATTCAAGGACGCCTTATCGCATTCAGGTTTGCTTACAGCAAAGACCCAGGAATACTGACTCTTAGCAGTAATTAGGTACCCTAAGCCCTAAACCCTAGATCCAAGACTCAGCAGCCTTTCAGGGGGGGGGGGGGGGGGGGAGAAGACTACCCGACATCCGACCCGAAACCCTAAACCCCAAACCTTTTTTTTTTTTTTTTTTGGGGGGGGGGGGGGGGGTAGAATGATGATCCAGGGAGGTATAGACTGGAGATTGTCATTCAAGCTTAAGGGTAAACCCTAAACCGTAAACCCTAAACCCTACACCCTAAACCCTAAACCCTGAGCCTTAAACCCGTTTAGGGCTCCACACATCCAAGCCAGAGAAGTACCCAGGTTTAGGGTTTAGGGCTACTACTGGGGGCCTTACACTCTAGAATAAGTTTCTTGGGGGAGGTTATTGTAGTATAATTTTAAAGGAAACATAAGAGAACAGGCCTTAATAATTAGAACAGTTTGTTTTTTTGTGTTTGGGGGGGGGGGGGGTTAGAGAAGAATGAAAGGGCCATAAGGGAATACTTCAGCAACTATTCCGAACACCCCCCCCCCCCCCCCCCCCCGGTTGAAACCCTAAACCCTAAACCTTAAACCTTCAAGCCTCAACCCCCTAAAACCTTAAACCCTGAACCCTATATTCGGGTGGTTGGGGGCTTCGGGTGGTTCGGTGCAGAGCCTGTAGATAAGCCTTATTATTCAGCCTAAACCCTAAACCCTAAACCCTAAACCCTAACCCCTAAACCCTAAAGCCCTAAAGCCCTAAAGCCTAAACCCTAAACCAAAACCCTAAAACCCTCAACCCTAAACCTCAGGGCTTGGGCCGTCAAGGTCTAGCCTGGAAAGTACGAAACATGATGGTACATCTATAGGGCACTGAGGAAACTCCTGGCATGTCGGACACAAGAAGAACTAGACCCAAGAGTCAAGGGTTCCCCTATTACCCCCCCTCTAGGGTTTAGGGTTTAGGGTTTAGGCGGTTTAGGGTTTAGGGTTTAGGGTTAAGGGTTAAGGGTTAAGGTTTAGGGTGCAGGGTTTAGGGTTTGGGGTTTAGGGTTTAGTGTTTAGGGTTTAGGGGTACTACCCCCCCTCTAAACTACCCCCCCCCCCATTGAGCCGAATAAAGGTTGTTGAACCTAGGGGGCTCGGGGGTAGTCGGGGAACCCATGACAGAGTAACGTAGGAACAAAAGGGTTCCTGTTTTCCGAGGCATAATGTAGATCAGCCCCGCCACCCTCAGCCCAAAAAGCCAACTCAAGCCACAACGAAAGAACAACCCCTGCCGAATCCACACCCTGAGAACCTCATCCTTAAACCATCCTAAGCTCTAAGCCCTAAGCCCTCAACCCTACACCCTGAAACCCTGAGTTGTGCAAGGGGGCAGGGCCTTGAGGTGCAACCAGAAGTGTCTCTGCGAAGGCGGCCTCGCGCTACCTGGGCTTCCACCACTGAGCTGGGTTTAGGGTTTAGGGTTTAGGGTTTAGGGTTTAGGGTTTAGGGTTTAGGGTTCAGGGTTTAGGGTTTAGGGTTTAGGGTTTAGGGTTTAGGGTCTGCCCCGAGCACCAGGAGTTGAGCTTTTCTTTAATTTGTTCTCACGCAACATAGGGTAAACAGGTCGGGTTTAGGGTTTAGGGGTTTAGGGTTGAGTTTTTGTGTATTTGTTTTACTATGATTAGCAGACTAGCATTGCAAAAGCTAATGTTAGTTTATTGATATTTGTACTCATTTTGTTGCTGCTATGTTTGCTCTTACTTTCGCTGCTTCTCATACGACATCTCCTTAAACAAATGACAAGCTTGCTGCACCGGCAGACATCCTCCAAGCAACCCTAAAGCCTAAACCCCAAAAACCTAACCCCAAACCCTACTGTAAGCCCTAAACCCTAAACCCCATAGCTCGAACCCATAGGTTGGCCCTTTAGACCCTCTGAGAAATCTTCCTAAGTAAGGCGAGACCCAAGAGTAACCTAGGACAAAAGAATGGTTTAGGGGTTTAGGGGTGTAGGAGTTTAGGGTTTAGGGTACCCTTGTTGGTTTGAAGGTGCTTATACCGAAACCCAAAAAAGTGAATAACGGCCTACTCTGGATCTAAATCCTAAACCCTGAACCCTAAACCCCCCTCCTAGAAGATCCTCTGTACCCCAATTGAAGGTTTAATTTAGAGTTAGGGTTTCGGATGTTCAAAATTCGCAAGGGCCTACGGAACCACGTCGGCTGAAGTGTTCAGCGGGCCATGGGTTGGGGTCTGGTTGTAGGGCTTAGGGGGCTTAGCAACCCTAAACCGCAAACCCGAAACTCTAAACCCCGAACCCTAAACCCCAAACCTAAACCCTAAACCCTAAACCCTGAATCCAAAACCATGATTCTGCACGCGACCGGGCCGCTGCTGGTTGCGATGAGGGACTTGGCTGACATGGCTGAGAGTTGGGCGCTGCCCGCAATGAGATACTTCCTGGGGTCCTGGTGGGGTTTAGGGTGGCGCGGTTTAGGGTTTAGGGTTTAAGGTGGTACGGTTTAGGGTTGGGGGTTTAGGGGTTTAGAGGTAATCAGGTTTAGGGTTTAGAGTGCTCTTTTTTCTGGGTGTTCCTGGAATATGTAGTTGAGGATTTTGGAGGGATATCCCCTATCCTGGGGGTTATCCTCAGGCACACTAAAATGCAGAATCCTCTTTGTCAGGACCCCCCGTGTCGCCCCTCAACAAGAAGCCGCGCGAAAGGATTCAGGTTTAGGGTTTAGGGCCCTGAAAGCTGAAAGCTAAATAACAACCAACTTCGGTTCCCATTCTCAGACGGCCTCCTTCAACTATTCTTAAAACTAAGCTTACCATAGTTTGGATGAAGGTGGGGTTTAGGGTGTCGGGTCTAGGGTTTTGGGAATTTCGCGGCCCCTGCCCCCTTCCCATGCCCTGCTTGTACAACCTACCGGGAATTGGGTGCTACGCCCTGAACCCAAAACCCCAAAACCGCTTGAAACACACAAAACCCCCAAAACACCCCGAACCCCAAACCACGCTGAATCCGTAAGACCCGAAGGCCCCCAAAGCCCTGAACCTTAAAGACCCCTAACACCAAAAACTCTAAACCTCACCTGCGGAAACCCGAAACCCGAAACCCTAAACCAAACCCTAAACCCTAAACCCTAAACCCTAAACCCTAAACCCTAAACACCCTGCAATCCCAAAGGATCCCTTCGCCGCAAGGCCGCCCTCCTGCGGCATGCGCAGTGCCAGGCGAGGCAAGGCCTCTGGAAGGGTTGAGGGTTTAGGGTTTAGGGTTTGGGGCTAAGGGTTTGGGGTTCAGGGTGTAGGGTTTAGGGTTTAGGGTTAAGGGTTAAGGGTTAGGGTTTAGGGTTTAGGGTTAGGGTTTAGGGTTTGGGGTTTAGGGTGTAGGGTTTAGGGCTAAGGGTTTAGGGTTTCGGGTTTCGGGTTTAGGGCTCTGCAAGGCCCAGGGTGGAAGATTCAGGGCTGTAGGGCGTACAGTAGGGGTCATAGGGCTTTAGGTTGCAGGGGTTTAGGGTTTAGGGTTTAGGGTTGAGGGTTTAGGGTTAGGGTTTAGGGTTTAGGGTTTAGGGTTGAGGTGATTGGGATTTAGGGGTTTGGCACGTAGGGACTTAGGGTTTAGGGGTTAAGGCTTCTCAGGATTTCTGAGGCCTTTAGGACTTCAGAACTTTAAGGCTTTTAGGGTTTCAAGCAAACCCAAATACCCTAAACCCTAAATCTGAGCCCAAACAAAACCCTAAACCCTAAAACCTAAACTCTAGACCCTAAACCCAAAACTCTAAACCCGAAAGACTTGCCAGGTCTCCCCTTATGCCGGGCCTGCATACGAATAACAGTCGTAGATGGTAGTCACAACAAGAGAAACAGCAGTAGCGACAACGTGTAATGCTTGTTTGGGTCTAGGCTTTAGGGTTTGGGGTTTAGTTTTTTGTTTTTTAGGGTTTAGGGTTTAGGGTTTAGGGTTTAGGGTTTAGGGACTCGGCATCGTGAGTCTGGGCTCAGCGGTTCAGGGGATGTTGGATTTGTTTAATGAAGGTTGTGAAGGGAGGAGCGTTCGCCATACCCCGTCTTAGACAAAACCCTCCAAACCATCTGAACCCTCCAAAGCCTGTAAACCCTCGAAAACTCTCTAAGCCCTCAAAACCCTAAACCCTCCAGAAACCCTCTAAACCCACTAAACCCTCTGAGCCCTCTGACCCCCTTTTTCTCTTCCCTCCAAAACCCTCTTAACATCTCTTAACCCTCTAAACCCCCAAAGTGCTCAGGAAGGGTCACCCTAAACCCTAAACCCTAAACCCTAAACCCTA